GTGATTGTGATGTGTTCGATTGTTGGTAGAGTGATATCTATAGGTTAGTCTGTGTGTGCGTCTTCGATTTTCGGTGGGTCCAATGGAGCTGGCTTATTTGAGAGTTCTTTACAGTGTTCTACACATCTGTTCCTCTGTCCTTGAATCTCAGTGATTGACTTGCCTTCTTTGTTCTAAACTGATCTCTCTGGTTTACTATATTTCCCTACCAGTTTCTCCGTTGCGTCATATAGTTGTTTGACATTTCCTTCTGTTGCAGTTTTTTCCGCTGTGACTGTTAGGTCTTCCGATGTTTGGGTGCTGAGCACTTTGCTATGATCTATTGCAGCCTGTCGTAAAACTAGTCTTCGTCGTTTTTATTGCCATTATTGATGAGTGCATAACATTGGAGAACATTCATTGTGATTTGATCCTTCTTTGTTTTGAAGGGTGCTTTGATGATCGTGGGCTCATGAGATTCCCATCCTATAAGTGCCTAACATGTTTGTTTGGAGAGCATCAGAGCCACTTTCTGAGTGTGTGGATCATTTTCTTCTTCGTGACCAGAGTACGAAAGCATATTCCCTGAATCTAATATTTTCTGTCCAGTTTGTGTTCAATGGGTTTCACTTATTCCGAGAACTGACGAGTTGTATCTCTTCCTTTCCGTAGCTAGTTGATTGGTTCTCACATTTACATCCATTGTCCGAACATTCCATGTTCCTATATAAATTGTTGCTGTGGTTTTTAGAAGGGGCATTGGCTTTTGTGTCTTCAAACGAAGATACATGTAATGAAATTTAGTACATAAACTATTAAACCATAATTTAATCAATAAATAATTCCGCTGACTGACTGGCATAATTTCCTTATTTTTCATTTTTTGCTTTCCTTTTTTCAGGAGATTCTAAAATTCGTCATCATTCTGGTGATGAATATATTGATGATTTAACACCAGAGGATATTGCAAAGTACAAATTAGAAATCAATATGGATGTAAGTTAATGATATATATATATAACTTTTAGTCTCTACGCGGTTATCATTTGACATGTTCAAGTTCATTTTAAAAACATTTATTCACACTATAAACATGTCAATTTATACATTTTTGAATGAACTGCTTTACAAAATGACTAATTTCATCTATCAAAGATTGTAGTTGTGAAATTTTCAGCCACACTATATTTGATCATATTTTCATAAATTGTCTTAGTCATGTGTTTTTTTAGAACTATGAGTAACCTATTTTCTTTGACATCACATAGTATTTGTAAAAATGAGTGACCATCTGATTAAGAGTACAATGATGTTAATCATGATTTTATTTATAAAAATACAAGATGAATACAAAGTTACAACTATTTACAGTTTTATTTTCATAATATTAATATTTATCAAATAATATTACTTAGGTCGTCGACGGACATTACTTGATAAAAGTTAAAACATCACTCTTATCAATCGATTAGTTATGAGTTGAACAACATCATAACAAAATTAGCAAAGCCTCTTCAGGATAATATGTTTACTTTTTTATTTTATTGTAATATGATCAAACGAATTCAACTTAAAATAGTTAAAATATAGAAATCTAAATACAAAAATCTAGGTTTACATTTGTAAAGGAATATCATTTTCCTCAATTTACTAAACCAAGTTTATTAATAAGTTTCATGAGATATGAAACCTAGATTTTGAGTTTCGAGTAGTTTAATTCGAAAAAAGTTCATCACTATATCGAATTACTTAACCTACCTTTCATGTTATGAAATTGATCCATAGAACTCGATTAAAATCAAGGACCAACCAACATTTTAATGCTTACTTTATAGTAACTGATTAGCGGAGAAAATCAAGTCTTATACGAGACATTACCATGACGGGTTTTAGTTGAAGATGATACACAAGGTCACTTTTAGAATATTTTTCTCAACTACTCAGAAAATAAACTATTTTTAGGTGATATATTTATAAGTAATGGGGGAGTTGTTGTTATCTCAGTTAAATAGATCACCAAAATTCATAGAAACAATTTAGACGAATGGTTGTTAACCTGTAAATTACTCCATATTTAACAGATTTCTCTTCTAAAATACTCAGTCGGTTGAGGCTTGATCACTTCATATTTAATACATATGGTCAACGTTTGTATAACACCGGTTGGTATTCCACAAAGAAATATCATTTCCTATAAAATTGCAGATGTATCTTGTTGATTAGTGTTGCCGAGTACCTTTAACCATTTAACGTGAAAATATTTTCAACCGTATACATCTAGACATCTGAAAGATAAATTTTTTTATGAGGATAGTTTCATTTTTCGCTGACTCCCTTGCTCCCACGGTGTAAGACATTTCATTTCCATTCATGGATTACTTTAAATATTTATGGAAGAGAACGTTCTAGTGTGGTTTCTTCAAAATAAATTAAATGTTTAGAATAATTTAGACCATATATTGACACAAATAGTCTACATACTAGCTATAATGTCGTTTTTAAACCTGAAAACCAATTAGATATGGCCAAATGTTTGACTTATTAGTGATTTTAGCATCACAATTGATTGATCACTGGGTGGTGATCAATGTCATGCTTGTCTAGTCCTTATTAGTGCAGATCGAATGCTATCGATCATGTTGCAATGTGGCCACCAGTCTAGGTGACTCGACACTGCGGGCACTATATATTGAGATTAGATGGTGGTTGGAGGTAGTCAACAGGAAACCCTGCACTAATAAGGACTAGACAAGCATGACATTGATCACTACCCAGTGATCAATCAATTGTGATTACATCTCAGTCAGTCGCGGCTCGGATAGCTCAGTGGTAACGTCTCTGACTGTGAAGCTGGGTGACACGAGATCGAATCCGCCAGGGAGCACCAGTTCCCTCAAGATTACAGGTACACCTTGCTGACGAGTGACAAGTAGCACGAAACCCGGGTCCAGGGTTTCCTGTTCACTACCTCCAACCACCATCTGATTTTAGCATCCTTTCCTAATTTAATTTTCTCGTATGTTTAATTTTTACTTTTTATTGTTTCGAGTGTCAAATTATTAGATTATCAAAGAATCTTTAGTTCCTCTTGGGAACAAAGACACATTAATTTTAATTAACTTATTCACATCGTTTGATAAATTGTTTATTTAACCGTTCGTTAACTAAATATTTTCACTAAGGGATTTACGATTTTATCCAAACGTTTTACAACTAATGCCTCGTTCTGATTACGGTAAATATCAGATAATTATACTATATAATTTTATACATAATAAGCTATTTTACTCATTTCGTATTATACCTTTTTAATATAAAGAAATGAAACCAGTGAAGAATCATTTAGCATCTCATCTTACATGATATCTCTAGTTTATTTATGTATTCTTTGTTAACCTTTCAAAATGGTTATCTGTAAATATTATATTTGTATTATATTCAACACTTGAAATGTATTCATAGATTTTATAATAGATCAAATTGTTTATTAGGGGATTTCTCGATAAAGTTGAAAATGCTTTTCGTTAAAAACTGACACGGCTCCAGAACGATCGAAAATAAACGGGCGTTGAACATCTGTTTCGTCTTTATTCAGAGCATAGGAACAACACTTTAATGAATAGAGATTAAGTATTCGATGTCTTTGAGTAATTTAACTCCTATCTAATCTATTTCAACATTCTGAACGGTATCAATGTATGTCAATAGGCGTTCATTTGACTAAAACTTATATAATACCATACAATTAAGGGAAGTAATATCTATCATGTACATCGTTCGACTATATTTTACTGAGGATCCAGGTACTCAGAAAATATTACTTGTCGTTTCGAGTATATGAAAACTAGTCACTTAGAGATAAAGGAAATTCATCATGAATAATTTTAATTTTCATCAACAATCCGTCATTTTTCTGATATCAAAATACTAAACCTTTCCTATCTTTCAAGTAATAAAGATCGCGTAACTTTCTTATGATCCCTTTACCCCAACTTAAAGAAGTGCTCAAAATTACTGTCACTTCAAATGACCTCTGAATATAATTTCTCCATGTCTAACCAGTTTGCTATAGAGGCATGATCTAGTGATTTATTTTATCTCACTTCGAAAATCAACCTTAATTCTTTATGAGCTATCAACTGATGCTTGACAGTGACTTCCTTGTTGCAAATACGAATATAATCGATATAAAGAAGTAAATAGCAAGGAATATCAAAGTACACTATCATGGACTATTCAGTGATATTTAATTCATTATGTTCACGACTAGCAGCGCGGAACATGGGAAGTTTAAGCTGTTCGTAAAATAGTTCTCGAAAATACCTCGAATAATGATTGCGTATTTTAAACTAAAAGAGTTTGAACTTATGCATTTCTGAATCCAGTTTGTGTAAGTTTACTAAAAATTATAGTGTAGTCAGAGAAGTTCATCTATTATATTTCTATAAAGCTAAAACAAAACATCACATGAAAAATAAATCTAAAATAGTTTAATCTATATTTATAACAACTGAGTTTGGTTCATTTCACTGATCTCAAGGCACACGTAATTTCATTTACTGAATAAAAAACTTGTGTCTTTTTTCCCTTTCTTTTAACAAATCCTTGTGCCGATGTTCACTCATATTCATCGTTTTGGACTCCATTTCTATATATGTATATACATATATAATGGGTAATATTACTTCTGATCTTATGCATAAACGCAATATAATCTATGCATATTTGATTGCTCTGCTTGTATCCGATACACAATGTGAATGAATCCATTCTATTATTCGTTGTTGCATTTGTTCTGTAATGGATGATTACTACTCTGTGTAATAATGATTCCATGCTCATTTATGTGCGCTTATCAAATTCCTGTTGTGGATTATATTCACTCAATGTATAAATTATGATTTAATTATGGTTTATTTCATAACACATTACTGACATCTCTCCTTCTATTTCTTTTTTTGTCAATCTCTTTCTACTTTAATCATGATATCTTACACACAAATTGTATATGATATGCACAGAATTTCATTGTAGATCGGCCTATTCTACCTGATCCAATATTATCTGTACCATTATCTAAATGGCAATCAGATGATTTATTGTTATTAGTTTCTGATTCATCAAAAAAATATGATAAATTAAAAAAGATCTCTTTTAATTGTCGTTCTTTTATTAATGAATTTCAGAAACAACCACACTCTCTACATCATCATTATCAACATCAACACCGACCAAATCATCATTACTACAATCCTCCCAATAATCGTTATTATCCACCTCATCATAAACAGCCTCAAAAGAATTATTCGAATGCTCATTACACACAATTATATAATTCATCTAGGAAAGAGCCAGTTCGTTCAAATAATAAAATACGAGGTTCATACAGTAGCGGATACAATACTAAGCAATATCAAACTGACGAGGTAAGTATTCACATAACAAACTACCAAATATATTTTTCTAACTTATAGACATTTGTTGTACCCTCATCTATCTAGGCACTTCACTTTCAATCATGATTTTGTTAGTTCGAATCCCACATTATCTCCCATGGTAATAGTCCTATATTTGAAAGTAACTGTTGCTGAATTGATGTTTGTTAAAATTTAGGTTATAATCATGTAGATTCTATCCATAAGAAAAAGTTCCAGTGTTGTTCCGAAATACACCATAAACTGATTAACGAAAAATTAGTTATCCAGGCTGGTTTTGTGTGTTATTTTGAAAAGCTTCACGAGTTCACTTAAACTGCGAACGAGAACAATACTCAGTGACCAGAGACCAGTGATCTAACTATTGACGCGTCCCAGCCCCGCTATCTAGAAGGAGAAGTCCAGGCTTGGTATGGAAAGTATATCCTGCAAACAGCCAGAAAGCGAGCAAGCAAGCACAATTTAAAATATATATATATATATATATATATATATATATATATATATATATATATATATATATATATATATATATAATCGATATTGTCATAGAAAATTTTTAAACACTAATCAATGAGTTCATAAATTGACCTGTTTGCACATCTAATTGATAGATTCATCAACCGACTGCTATTCAAACATTTAATCGATCAGTTCATCACTTGACCCCAATACAAATATTTAAACATTTAATCAATAAGTTGATCGATGCGATAAAATTTAAACATATGAGTTTGGGGATTTATCGTCTCCAACAGTGTGGAAACATCTCTTTTCTTACAGTATAGTGTTTATTCTGCAAAATGATTGTTTATAAAGTGCGGTAATTCTATGTAATCGTTTTACCAGTCGGTTTTTAAATTGATACAAAGTATGTGTCTACTAATAACAGTAATTAGATCAATTCAAAGTAAGAGATGTCTAGCCATGACTAGATCTAAGGATAGGAGTACAGCTACAAGGGAAGTTACGTCTGTTGGTAGCTGTAACTGTAAAATTTTAACGTGTCATTATTGAATGCAGTTTCAACATCCTGAAATATTTCTTGGGAAGGTGATAAAAATCACCACAGTAAATCGAACACATATGAGGTAGTAAAACAAATGAATATTTAGTTTGTATTGCAGGTGATAAAAAACCGAACGGAAACATTTATAATCGTTATTCTGAACAACTTAACATTTACACATATAGCTAAAGATAAATATCGCAGTCAGTTAACATCTTACTCTAATTAGCATTCATAAATCTGTAATGAATTTGAACACTAAAATCTGTTGATGTAGGCTGTGACCCTGATAATCTAATCTGAGTAGATCGTTTATTAGCTAATTTTTGTGGACTCATGTGGCAGGACTGAATATACTTGTACTGCATAAGATATTAGATAAATATACAAAACCCTAATGAGTCATCCTAATTCTGTAGGCTACTTTTGTACTGACTAAAATGACTGACACTTAATAATTGCATACATACACACTCCATTTACAAGTGGTCGATTGTGTTGAATGTCTGTAAAGTAACGTACATAGCCATGTCCGTTCGCAGAGCGGTGATATAATCCCTGTTGGGTTAGTTATCTCAATCGCGCTGTTTGGAACTTTCGTACACTGTACTGGTAATTCGCTACTGACTTCAATACTGTGAACGAAACTATCTCCTTCCTTTTCCTACCTCATTAAATAGGGTAAAAACACGTTTGGCAGATGAGGCTCTTTGTTGACCCAGTGTAATCAATCAGACTTGTCGATTGCATATCAATAAAGATATTTACCTGAGTGCTTACCGCCAACACAAACGATCGTGAAAAATGTATTGAGATCCAATGAACAGTGATCATACTGACTAATTCACGGTAACATAGTTCCGACTTAAGCAACACTGATTTGATTTTCGTAATTTTTATTATGGACAAATCTTTCTTAATTATCAGTGACAGTACGGTTTAATTATCATTCATGTAAGTTTAGGATCGCTATCCTCACTAAGTTTTTATTTACTTCACAATTTGGAACAACTGGACACCCAAATAATCTGCATCACATACTGAGATTAAGTACCATATTTTTATACGGGATGTCACTAAGTACCATCGATAACAGCTTCGTTTCCTTAACCACCTCCACAAAAATAAACAGTGCTTGAGTAAAGTAAAAAAAGACCATGAGTGGAAATGTAGATTCAGAGGGGTATTCGACCAAGTTCATATATATGTCCAGTTAGTTGACTACTAAGTGTAACAATTTTCAATCATATTCTATATAAACATGTTTATGAAATATATTATTTTCCGATGTATATACTGTTTGTAGAGATAGGCAACTATCAATCTAAAATACTTTAATATTCTCATTACAGAAAAACAAGCCTAGGTGTTCCACAAACAATGATAAAATTCCAGTGAGTGGAATGAACATTAGTGAAGACAGTCAAGTTGGTACTGATGAGCCGATTCAAACAAATGATCCTACTGAAGATTCCCCATATTTTGAGCTGGACTTTGCTAGCGGAATTTTCGACGTACAAATTCACGAGCGAGCTAGATCCTTTTTAACTTTAGGTATCGATGACAGTGAGCTTTCTCAAAGTGATTGCTACACAAATATATCTGAATTAAATACGCATGGAATGCATCGAAGTCACTCTCTTCCGTCACTTAGAGACTTGGAAAGAAATTACCAGCCACATTCATTTGAGGACTGTACAACACCGACGATCAGCCTTAATACTGAAGGAGCTGCAGATTTATCAGCGGAAGTTAATGCAGTAACTACCTCAGTAGAAAAGACAAATATAAAATCTGACAATAACGTAAATATATCGAGTGAAAATGTTTGCGGTAGTGATGTAGCACAATAATGCAATAATATGGAGAACGAAAACGGACGATAACGCAATGATCTCTCAAAAATGTAATGTTTGGATCACTAACAGTCAAATGTATAGCCTCATTGTTTCTCTTTACCTCTTCTTAGATTTTTTACTTGTGTGACTTCGAACATGTTTTTACTCACTGATTGTTATGACATCACCTTAACTGCAATGAGATACTTCACTCGCTCCTTTGTGATTATGGATTAACTTGATTGATGATATTGTTTACTATTTGCTAGTTTTCTATGACAAACTTATTGATAAATGAAAGGCCATATCAGTCATATAACATTTTTTCGATTTCTTTAACATTTAAAACATAAACTGTACAAAAAAGCTAGAGCGTTAAAACCAATAAGTTAAGAGTTAGTGTATAATGATGATGATACAAGTAGAAATTAGCTAACATTAGAAGAATATAAATTACGAAATTCAATTTCTGAAATATCATGCACGCAAGTGTAATCTGATGCACATAAATATTCTAACAGTGTAGCAATCAGTCAACAGTTCGATTACGTTGGAACATTTAACTATCATATTTTTATTTTCACCAAGTAACTAGTACGTCAAAAGTTATTGTATGTTTGACTACAACAAAAAAGAACAAGCATTGCTCTAGTTCACCGTTTGACCCAGTTTTTAGAAATCTTAATCACTGCCGGGTAGACCGCTGTATTACAGCAGCATATTTTTTTAAACCTCGTGATATTTTTTTCAATTATTTTAAAGCAAAAGATTATTTTTCCGACAGATTTTTTCTTGGGCCGGAGAACGAGCAAAACACACACATACACACAAACTATTTTAGTCAAACAACGACTAACATTCTGACAGACAGTCACTCAGCTCAAATAAAAAACATGATAGGATATGCTCTACAAGTAACCTAGCTAATGACGAATCGTAACACATCAGAATATATGAGTGCATCTAGATACACACAAACATACATACACTGCATAAGTTGAAATTTTATAATTTTAGTTCAAAGATTATACAGAAAACGCTTCAGGTGGAATTTTGCCAGCTGAATTCATAGTTTCGAAAGCAGTTAGTGCAGCATTAGCATCCATTCATACTCTTCTAGACACTGTCTTGAAAAGGGAATGTTCATACCGGTGCGCCGACTAAATTCAATTACCATATTTTCTTTTACTTCAGGTGCAGAAAGATCAGAGCTGAGAACATTTTGCTGTTGATTTGAGGCCTGACTGTCCTGTTTGCATCTTGTAGCCATTTCAGTAATGTATTTCTAAAATAAAGTTTTCAAGTTAGGAAGCAATTATTTGAAGTTTAAATTGACATCATTATTATTTTTATCTGATAGGGTTATTTAAGACTAAAGAACGAGATCGTCCGTTTTCAAAACAACTTAGTAGTGTTCAACATTTTCATAATCCAATTTTCGACTAAACTAGCTACAATAAAACAATTTATTATCACTGACGCTAGTTTTATAACATGCAGAATAATGATACTAATAATTATTCAGCACTACGCGATGTTCTTTCTTGTCCTGCTTCTTTACAATTGCTGTAATTTTGCCTGCGGCAATATTTAGCACTATGAATTTAGTTAACTTCACCAAGCAAAAAAGTTCAAAAGCTAGAGATTAGTGGAACTCTTATAGAAAAAGATGGGACAATGATTCAAGCTATGGCTAAGTGAGTGAGACGATGAGTGGAACGTTTTAAAGAACTCTTCAAATGGATTTTATCTACTTTGTGAATGCTTATGGTCTAAATGACTGGAATAAGACAGCAACTTTCAGCGAAGCAGAGAAAGGTATAACTAGGAGTCAGAAAATAACAAGTCGTAGAGGGTTAATTTGAGTTGTTCAGTTAGATTGATGGAGATGTTACATAGAGTTTAGGGGTTGAACGTCATTTCATCTGACTGCTCTTGACCTATGATCATTTCACTTGATAAGGAGTGACTGGGAACAGTAAATCTAGAACAACCAATCAAGTTCCAGATCACGTTATTGGTAAACTGACCAGATGTTAACTCCACAACCATTCTTGAAACATATTCTTACTCATCAAAATCCAACTGAACCCATTTCCATTTAATTAGAGACGACTCTATAGATTTAGACAATGCGGCATAACTAGGTACATGAGCCTATGAAAAACACTTTATTCAAAAAACTTTTAAAAACTACTGTAAGCAGTAATATGAGCCAAAGACATTTGATGTCTGTCGACTATTTCTTTTTCTTTTTTTTTATGGACATATCTCTAGGGTTAAGACTTTTTTTGTTTATTTATGGAGGAATTTATGAATTTTAAGAATTGATTAAAATCTGGTCTGGATTCATATCTGAATTAACTATAGTGAGTGAAGCATTTCAGAGTATTGACTATATCATTTACCTTGGGAATCCCTAGTAAGTTAATGCCTAACGAAATCTCGGCACGTCTATAAATAACTCACTTAGCTTCCATTGATTCGTATAAATTCTGGTCCAGATGAGATTAACCTATTTATTGAAGAGGATATACTGATAATCAGTTTGTTTCATGTTTACTTAAGGTTATGGAATATAAATCAGTCCTAGGTGTTTGATGATAAGTATGTTTTCAGAATTCCGTGAGTATAGTATAAAAATAGTATAACGATTGTAAACAATTGTGTGAGTTGTGACGGGTTGAGCACATATCACGCATTAGTCTGTAACTGATCGATTACTGCGTTAAAGTTGCAACCGATTTAGATCAGCAATTTCACTATAATACCTTACTGTGGTTTTAAACATTTTAATAATATATAATTTATTGGTATACATTTATTGAAACGTGCATCGAGCCAAAGGTTTTCACATAGTTTGGCTTATCAAGTGCTGCAAGTATATGCATAACATGGGAAATTTCTTCGTAAAACAAATGCGACGATATTCAAATAAGCAGCGTTTACCTTACACAAAGAGGTAGTTGGATTAGACACAATATAATCATCTTGCACTATATGACCACCTGGTGCGATCAGTATCATAGTCCTAGTAAAACACCGAAGGACTTTGCGAACAGATTTTTCGTGTGAGCTTGAGTTGATGGAACTTGAACCCATAGAAGAAACCTCGTAAAAAACACCACCCATTGTAAACAACATTTGAGTTCCCTGTGAATGATGCAAAAATAATATGGAATACAAATTAGTATCAAGGTATAAAATTCCGCATGTAACTTTTCTAGAGTTACTGCAGTAAAACCATTCAGTAGAAATCAATCTTCACAAAAAAAGCTGACCAGAATAAATAAAGAAAATTAATTAAAACACTGTCCTGTGAGTTGAAGGATCTTCATTTAAAACAAATAAAACGCCTTATGGTGAAAGCCGTGATTGATCGGAATTCACAAAGCCCACGCCCCTTCTAACAACCACAGCAACAATTTATATAGGAACATGGAATGTTCGGACAATGGATGTAAATGTGAGAACCAATCAACTAGCTACGGAAAGGAAGAGATACAACTCGTCAGTTCTCGGAATAAGTGAAACCCATTGAACACAAACTGGACAGAAAATATTAGATTCAGGGAATATGCTTTCGTACTCTGGTCACGAAGAAGAAAATGATCCACACACTCAGAAAGTGGCTCTGATGCTCTCCAAACAAACATGTTAGGCACTTATAGGATGGGAATCTCATGAACCCACGATCATCAAAGCACCCTTCAAAACAAAGAAGGATCAAATCACAATGAATGTTCTCCAATGTTATGCACTCATCAATAATGGCAATAAAAACGACGAAGACTAGTTTTACGACAGGCTGCAATAGATCATAGCAAAGTGCTCAGCACCCAAACATCGGAAGACCTAACAGTCACAGCGGAAAAAACTGCAACAGAAGGAAATGTCAAACAACTATATGACGCAACGGAGAAACTGGTAGGGAAATATAGTAAACCAGAGAGATCAGTGTAGAACAAAGAAGGCAAGTCAATCACTGAGATTCAAGGACAGAGGAACAGATGTGTAGAACACTGTAAAGAACTCTCAAATAAGCCAGCTCCATTGGACCCACCGAAAATCGAAGACGCACACACAGACTAACCTATAGATATCACTCTACCAACAATCGAACACATCACAATCACCATCAGACAAATCAAGAGTGGAAAAGCAGTAGAACATGACAAAATACTACCTGAAGCACTACAATCAGACAGAGAAGCAACTGCAAACATGCTCCACGTTCTATTCAACAAGATTTGAGAGGAAGAACAAGTGCCGACAGACTGGAAAGAAAGATACCTCATTAATACACCAAAAAAGGAGATCTGAGCAAATGGGAGATCTACAGAGACATCACACTGCTATCATTACTGGGAAAAGTTTTCAAAAATGTTGCTGAACTGGATGAAAGATTCAGTAGACGTCCATCTTCGAGGTCAGCAGGCTGGATTCCGCATGAATGGCATTCATCAATATACATCAACTTCATTAACTAAGAGAAGGAGTTTGGCAATGTGGGGAGGAGGACCTTGTGGAACCTTCTCCCACACTATGGTGTGCCTGAGAAGATTGTCAGCACCATACGAAATCCATACGACAGATGACACTGCAAAGTCATGCATGTAGAACAGCTGACAGAATTATTCCAAGTGAGGACCAGAGACAGACAAGACTGCCTATTCTCCCCCTTCTTCATTCTAATAGTGATTGACTGGATTATGAAGACCTCCACATCTCAAAATAAGCACGGAATACAATAGACAGCTTGCATGCAACTAGACGATTCGGACTTCACAGATGATATAGTCCTTCTATCCCATACACACAAACAAATGAAGGTCAAGATAACCAGTGTGATGGAAGCCTCTGCATCAGTAGGTCTCAACATACACAAGGGAAAAAGCAACATCCTCAAATACAACTCGAAAAACGCCAATCCAATCACACTTGATGGAGAAACTCTGGAACAGGTAGAAACTTACATGTAACTGGTCAGCAGCATCGTCTATGAACAAGGAGAATCCGGTTCAGATGTAAACGAAACGATCGGCAAAACAAGGACAGCATTCATACAGTTGAATAACATGTGGAACTCAAAACGACTATCAGCCAACATCGAAGTCGGAATCTTCAATACGAACGTCAAGACAGTTCTACTATTCAGAGCTTCATCTTCCAGAACTACCACAACCATCATCAAAGACGTACAAGTATTTACAAACAATTGTCTACGCAACATACTCAATGTCCGTTGGTCGGATACCATCAGCAACAACCTACAGTGGGAGAAAATAAACCAGCTTCTATCTGAAGAGGAAATTGGGGAAAGACGTTAGAAGTGGGTAGGATATACATTGCAGGAGTCATCAAACTGCATCACGAAGCAAGTACTATCTAGCAATCCTGAAGGAAAACAGAAAAGAGGAAGACCGAAGAACACACTGTGTCGAGAATCGGAAGTCTACATCAAAAGGATGAGTAGAAACGGGAAAGGATTGTCCAGGACAGAGTTCTATAGAGAATGCTGGTGGGCAGCCTATGCTACTCGACGAGGGTAACAGGCGTGAAGAAAAAAAATTATCAAGATATAGGTACTTATCTAATGAAAGAAGGTAAAACGGTCGCACACGTATCGATTGATTTGATTTATTGTGATATTGTGCGCAATTAACTTGTGATTATCTAATATTTAGGAAACATCTATCGCACTATTCTCAGTAGTAACTAAAACGAGATAGAAATAATTTATACTTACGGAATGAAAGGCGACGTCTACAGATAAAGACTCTAATTGATGTTCCGTGGTTGGTAGCTCATCCAAAAAATGGGCGATAGCCAAACTACCACGCACAACCATGTCGCGTCGTCTACTTTGGTCTCGGCAGCGAAGAAGATTACGACTTCGTAAAAAGTAAGCTTGATTTAATCGTGAAGTGGTAAGATATGCCGTAGTCGGTTGATCAGAACCATTTTGTATCTCTACGCGTGCTGTGAATGACACATTTTGTGAATTTGGAAAACGATTTTCAGGAGACACGGAAAAAACCAGTTGGGAAACAGTCGTGTAGTAAGGCAGCAAACTTTCACCTCGGGGCTTAGAATCATAGCGACTAAGGTATCTAGATCACAGAAATCACGAAAAAAGAGGATAATCAAGAAAGAGAACAAAATATACAGACATACAGATTTTAAGGCACAGAAACTTTAATTACTTGTGAACAATGTGAAAATGTTAGCTGTGACAGTGGCTTTGTAAATGGCGAGACCAAAATATGTAACCGCTATCAAACTTTTAGCAACCAGGTACTTTTCTTAAAATTAAATGATGTAAGTATTAGACGTCACATATAAATGAAGTTTCATAGTCTTAAAAAGCGGCGCAAAATTACTTGGATGAATGAAATTAGTAAAACTAAATCCAGGTGTTCGTTGACATGTATCAATTATCAATAAGATAGTAGACTGTTAGTGTAAACTAGCACAATAACACAAGTTATAGAAGAATTTCTGGATGTGAACGATTTAAGAATAGATGAGACTGATAAATTCGTGCAAAAAAAATAATTTTAAGCTGACCAAGGGACGCATGGATTGTAAATGCATACCAGTGATTGTTAAGAAGTGGGTAAATAACAAGATACAATGCCTTTGTTATCTTATCAAAAATCCACTTAGCTAGTGAGTATTAGAGCAAGTGAGTGGGAGCTTTTAAATACTACAGCCAAGTGACACAATGGAGCCTGAAGTCGTAAGTCGATAAAACAAAACTTGGAGAATAATGCTGTCGGATATATCCAGCACAAGTGTCCATAAAATAAAACTGCTATCGACAAGACTGAGGATTGTGAGAATCTAAAGGAACGGGTATACAGAGAGTAACTATTCTTGGATTTAAACAATCACAAAAGCAATCCTAAAAAGGACTTACAATTTCAAAAAACTCAGCAAAGCTATTTTAACTTCATCATTAGGAAAAAATCCCAGAATAGACTGTGGAAGCGGTTTCGTTGGAGGCCGTTTAGAGGAATCCAAACCTTGCTCAATTGCAAATTGTACAGTATGCGGTAATTCTTGTCCATTCTGTAACAGAGTGCAATACATTATTCATAAAATATGAACAATGAGTAGAAAGGTGTCTTTAATGTTGACTAAAATAAAATCAAGAAATCTAGAGATTCGGTCAAAGATGTATCCGTAAATAGCCAAGGAAAAATAGAAACCTAACATAAGACCAGTGGGGAAATTTGTTTCTTATTTTGAAAACACATGACAATCGTCCATATTCTCAGGCATGGTTCGGTGTAACAAGTCTAATGTTTTCTACAAAGAGAATAACTTTTCGCTGGCGGCTATGATCAAAATACTTAGAAATTAGTAATAGATACCGACTTACTACAAGTTTAACTCTCGGTTGACAAACACATATAGTAAAATGAATAAATCATTTGTTAGACACTCGTATACTTGACTACCCAGCTACACTCTAATTGTGAGGTTTAGTGATACTACTCAGTTACAATTCAGAAATGAAGCTTTGGTAAATGGACTGGAATTATAGTTAGTGATCCATCGTTTTTAAACAAACCCAGTGGTCGTATTGTTGTTGCAAAGTGTGAAATTAGTGCGCCTTTATAAAATACATTGTTTGCACATCTGCCTTCAGTTGTCCTGCATGTGCTTCATGATTTTTCCAAATCTGTTGTCATTACACTTGCTTTCTATTCCCTTCATGTTCTTTTCAATTCAATTTTCTGCTCCCAGTCATTCTACTTTCGATTAGTACTATATACTAACATCTGTCAGCATAAGTAGCATGCACCACAGTATCAGTAGCCGCGGTAAATTAAATTAAAATTGTTATTCAGTTAGTATTTGATGAAAATATTTGGACTGTTAATAAGACAACTGAACAGCTGGTTTCGGTCGTCATAATTTGAGTTAGTACCATTATTTGATATGATAAAATCCTCTCTCTTTATATATATATATATATATATATATATATATATATATATATATATATATATATACGTGTGTTGAATGTACTATACATAATTTAGGTTAAACATAACACAACATAAAGTTAGGTAAATTTTATCTACAATCACTTACTAAACGTTTGATCGTTGGTAAGATTGTATGCAATTTACTGAGCCAGTGCAGTGATTTCAAAAAACCCCGAAATCGAGCAACAAAAGAAAATTGAAAACCATTTCTTCAAGAGGTCACAAAATGTGGGCAATCAGGTATATATCGAAATACACATATATTACGTGTTTTAACGACCAGTAATACTTGGAAAACTGTAGAGCTTGTCCTACGTTTAATGATATGAAAATGTTTCAATATCGTTTTGGCAAAAAACGATTGGAAGTTTTGTGTGTGCAGAAAAATCAACTGAAATCTACGATATTTACCTTCTCGAGTAATTTATATTATAACTGTCTCAAAACTGTTAGAAATCTCGAAGATCAGTAGCTGATTGATATCGTCGAAATTCTAAGTTGTGTTTGATTTTCGATGGGGGACTTTATTTTTACACGTGGTCATCAATTTTCATCGAACTTAAATCCTCATTTACATCCTAAGAATAGGACCCTATTTACTTGATTTTTTAACAGTCAAAACCAAATGCAATCGAAAATCAAAAATACTTAATAAAACAAAAATGGTGACAATTAACATCCTTGAAATTTTCGGAAGATGACACCACAGGCTGCGAAACTGACTAACCACCGAAGCGAAGGCCAATGGTCGCAGACAAGTGGACGAGACCATTAGGGCGAAGATGTACACTCACGCTGCAAAAGATTTGTCGTTTGGATTGAATTTTGACATCAAAGGAGTTTCTGTAAGGTCTAATTCAACCAAACCAACGATATCTCGAAGACCAGAAAGGACAGGTATGCTACTTAGAGGATTTGAGCTGAGATCTATACGTTCAATGGACACTGGAATAAATCCAGCACTCGTTGAAGATAACGGAGAAAAAGCATTCAAATGAGTTAGTCGGTTGTTTGATAGATTGAGAACAGCAAGCTTTAGAAAGAAAATAAAGCAGAAAATTGTATTTAGTTTTTTTAACGGTTTCAAAACAAATTGGATTTTTACACATTGTATATGGCGTGTTCTTCATAATTACTAATGCCCAAACCATTCACCTAAGAGCGTAAAAATGTGGGCTAATTCTCATTTAACAGCTACTTTTGTTTATCACCCGTTAAACAATGCACCTGAACTGAAGTGGTTTTCCTTGTTTATTGTTTCGCTACTTAACATATGTGAATTCTTCTAATCAATTTCTTTTTAATAAATGAGCAACATATGTTTAATCATAGAATACACAAACAACTAATTTTATATGTTTAAATAATCCGATTACATAAAAAAGTTGTTATGATCTCTTACTATGACCCAGCTACTTTTATTGTTTAGTATTCTTCGGCATGTTCCAAAATCAAAACATGATTGAAAAGAAACGAAATTATATTCCAAATAAACAAGGCTGAGTGGGAATAGAAATAATAATAAGGAAAACGTTGATATATATATATATATATATATATATATATATATATATATATATATATATATATGATTTTACACAAGATTCTAGAGTCTTCCCCAAGTATCCGCCGGCGCTGATCGGCTAAGAAATGGCCGACCGGCGTGCTCTGACACAATCCTGCACGGAATATGCTTTGACCCAATCTATATCCTGCTAAAAAAGCAATCAGTCAAAAGCAACGCATAATTTGGCATGGATTTGACTGACTCAAATATCCCTACCTCATTAACACAGTAAGAGAAATTATCAAGTACCAAAAGTAGTAGTAAAAAAGACTACATTTGTGGCGAAAGAACGAGTCATGAGAATAGATTGATATGTACAACTGTGACCGACTTTGAGTTATGCCAATTAATTTTTCAACCATAAGTCACGTGCGAACCCCAATCAAGTAGGCTTTATCTGCCAACGAAAATGAATGACAATGAAGTCACGATTTTATTATCCAAGTCAAAGAAACATTTCAGCGCTTTACAACCTTCCAAAGATAAAGAAAACGGTAGTCAGTTTTACCATTTTTCATGATTTAGGGTCCTTTCTTCTTAATTAGTGAATATGACAAACGAAAATCGGATGTAAAAAGTCTGACATTCGACCATCGTATGGAACGCCATACAATACCACGGAACTAAATCTAACAAGTGTGTTAAGTTAACAGATTGTGTAGTTGTAAGTGGATCTGAGGTGTGAAAAATTTTATTGACTACTTATCGCCATCGCTTTCTTACAACTATCGTTGGTCATTCGTGATTTTAGATGCTTTTTGAGAGTGGATATTTTAAGTGGTCTTAAATAGAAAATCTTTTTGTGAGGAAAACATACTTTGGAAGTTGTAAACCGATAAAACATTTACCTGTGCTTGGTTTTGTTTCAGGATAGTAATCAAAGTATGAACCACCGCTTGTTTGTTAAGAGGTAAATATAGTCCCTGACTTAAAAGGACTGGATCCGTGTGCAGAGAAGAGAGATCTAAACTACGCGTAGTAGGTTGATAACGCTGAACAAAGCACTGCTTTAATGCTTCAATCCAAGTTTCTGGCAGAGGAGAGGTATTCGGTGATTCATTTCTTTTATCAGACGAAGAAGGGACTCTGGGCTCAGGGACAATTGTTATGTCGGTAATTAATTGTGAACCCTGACTTGGATCGCGTAAATTTTGGAGTGATTTGCGGTAACTTTGAACCTAAAAAACACATAGTTGTTACTAATTTTTAATAAAAAGACAGAAAATATCACTTTGTTTAAATTCAGTAGTTGTATGATTAGGTATTTCGAAGATGTGAAACGAAATAATAGGTACAGACTTGTATTTTAAGCCTTAGACTATACTGGATATAAGTTGGGGACAAAGTGAGTACTCGATCGAAAGTAAAACGGGAGTTAAAATTGTAACTTAACGGTACGTAAATCGACGTCAACACTAGGGAGACAACCTTAACTATCGTAATAACTAGTCAAGCAAGGTGGATGCAGATAACTAAATACATCAAAAGTTCGGGACGATTATCTGACATACAAGCAGTGACATTTATTACCTTGGTCTGAAGATTAAAAGACCTCAACTTATCCAAATATACTAACTTTTCCATGACATCGGTTATTTTTACTGTTAGATGTAAAGACTTGAACAGGTGTATTTACTGAACATGATATAAAGATAACGGACCGATTTAATCTGAATTATGTAAATTACAAGAGTACTTACATCCTTTTGTCTGATTTTTGCATGCATTAGTGCATTTCTTCCTTCAACGCAAGTATTATAGAACCGTAGCTGTGTCCCAACAGTGGTGGTGATCAACTGTTGAAGATCCATCATCAGATGATTAGCGCCATGGACAATCGTAATTCTCACCCAAACTTCGCCGGGGGCCAAGCCACTATTTTGGGCAGTGACAACAGAAGCTGCTGATCCACCGATAAGCTAAAAATAAGAACAAGCATTGCGTAACCCTATAAATAATTTTACAAACAATATAGGATTGTTTTTTCGTTTTTAATGAGTAAATTAATAAGTGGCGGAGTTCCATCTACACATGTGTTTACTAGTCCGACTGTAGCTCTGTCAACTACATTGGATATACAACTAAGATACTGATCCGTTGCACTTTTAGACATCACCCTTCATGAGTGAGTAAAAAACAGAGGACATTATCCTAGAACAAAACACTGGATACTAAAATTGGTGTTAAGGTAGCTTTTCAAGTCTTTTTAATCTTATCCAGCCTATCCTGTGATTGAAAACCTTGGTTTTTATATACAGTGGAAGCCAGAAAAATTCATGTAGATAAACATAACTTTTCGTTCAAAAGGTTTTTATAAACACTTTCTTCTCTTTTGACACTTGATCAACTTCCAGTCGCACTACTTTGTATTTTTATTTTTAAATCGTAAAGAAAGCACGTTTGCAGTTAGCTACTGTCCTAATGTAAAGTTAATCAAAAAATTAATTAAGACCATAAAATGCCAAATGTGTATTAGAATAGTTTTAGGGGGATGATAAAAATGTCAAGACAGGTACTATCTAGATTTGACTGCATAAACCAGCGTTGCTTGTTAACAAAGACCTCCTGAAATATTTTTTGTCGAAACCCATGTAGCGATACATACTTCTCAGACTTACATTCATATTCATAGCACGTTTTAACATATCCACATTGTTACCAGAAATTATGGACTTGCGACCACTACTGAACTTCCCTCCATGTTCGCGCCGTCGTAAATATTCGTCAGAGGTGTCAATACGTCGATCATTTTCTCCATCTAAAAACCAAAAAAGAAATATGTAACCACGAAATTAACACTATACATGAGTGTTCCATAATCACGGGTTTATCCTACGGAGCTGAGGAACTAAACTACTTTAAAATAACCCTCGGACAAAAAGTGATATTTAGAAGTCACTGACAGTCGATTGTTTCAAAAACACATCCTGAACAAGTGTATTGTTACCTTGAGTAGTTAGAAGGCTGAGAGTTATTGATAATTAGAGCCACATCATCCAAGCAGTTAGGTAGACCAAGGTTGAACAAATAAAATGAAATTTAGTGGGACGCATCTACCAAAAATGACTAAGTACAAATGAGGAAATCAGAAGTCACTAGGGAGAAGTGACCATGCAGTCATCTTATTCAAATTCATGGCTGAGATTGGTTGTCAAACAGTCGCGCCGGCCCGTCCTAACATATGGAAGAAAGACATGGAGGCAATCAACTCCGCAGCATCGGTTGAAAACTGGGAACTTGACTCTAAGGCATCAGTACAAGAGGCTTGGACTCTTTTCAGGCAGTTATACAATCGGGTAACTCAACCATACATACCCTGGACAATCCCAAAGAAGAAGCACGGCCATCCCTGGATAGGCCGAGATATTCGACGTTTACTAAGACGAAAGAAGTAGTCCGGTCCCATAAGGATCTAGGGGTGACAGTAAGTTATGATCTTAAGACGACGGCCCATTGCCGGGAGGTCGCAGCTAAGGGGTTTCGAACCCTCTGAACTTTAAAAAGGATATTCACTAAGTTAGACACTACCATGTTCACCACAGTATACACATCCTTAGTGAGGACTAAGCTAGAGAACTGCGTTCAGGCTGCAAGCCCCTGTTTGAAAGGTGACTCGGATATCCTGGAAGAAGTACAGAGGGCAGCTACCCATGCAATTCCAGAACTCCGTTGTTTATCATACAAAGAGCGGCTTGAAAAGCTGGACCTCTTTACTCTGTCTCATCGCAGACTAAGGGGAGACCTAATTTTGATGTACAGAATACTCAGACATGCTTTCGGACCTAACTTATTCCCTTTTTTCCCCACTAGATCGTGACGTCTCAGAGGACATAGCAGGCGAGTAGAAAAGCCAAAAACGAACAAAATACCCGCGACATACAGGTCTTCATACCGAGTCATCAATACTTGGAACCTGTTACCCGAAGCAGTGGTGTCCGCACCTTTAATCGACTCTTTCAACAGGAGACTGGACACCCACAGAAGCATACTAGAAAAGGAATAAAATAGGCCGTAGGCCTTCTGTTCTTACTACACAAATCTGAATAGCACATCAGTCAATAAATTCGGACGGAAAACGAGTCTAGTCAGTTTTATTGAGAATAACTCTACTGAATGTGTCTAGAATGTGATGCATCAGCATTCAACAGAGTATAAACTCTGTAGGTTTTGAATAAATAACTCCAAAATTATGGAAATTCAGCCTCTCCTATAGGAGAGCACATATACAGCTGTCCATATACAAATAATCACATATAGACCAAACTATCGCGTAAGTTTGTAAAACATATGAGAAACTCCAAGTACTTACGACTTCTCCACCGATAGTGATTAGACTTATTGCGGTGATTCCCGTGAGGCATACTTGAAGGGAATATGTTGGCGCTCAATGACCTTAAGGTTGGTTCAAACAAACACTCCCATCTGAAAAATAAACTAATGAAACTCTCATTTATCAAAACCTACTTTAGGGTAATTTCAGCTTGGTACAATTATTTTTTAATAAACTGATGTCAAAGGGCTCAAAGTTTTCTCAATGAAGTTGATTGGACTAATGGTGATAACTGGACGCTCTAAAGCAACAGTTCTTAAATTTTTCGACATTTGGATTGATCCCATTAGTTATACTCAACACGCTTCAACTGAAGGAGCTCAGCCAAACATTCGCATCATATCACTACTGGGTACGACGTACTACATAATCCTCGCAACATCTAGTCAGCATAGACAGTATGCTTCGCGACACATCTATAATCTCATCTATGACGTCTAGTTTCGCTGAGTTTTGGATCCTCTATTACAAATGTGCCTGCTTCCGGCCGGGTAGCATGGAATAAAATGAAGCTTGTTCTAAATTCTTGGTTGCTATTAAACGCAACTCGATTTCGTAAACGTGGCAGTCTGCTCGGCGACTAATCAGAATGAAGGGGGAATTATTATATCCGCCATCTTTGTATGCAATGGCAGCCGGCTTTCTTCGTTCTGTGCGTTTTCCGCTATTTCTTTTGTGTAGCTACATAGTTTAATGTTTCAGTGTGCTAAAATGCAGAAGTTAATGTAATGCTCTAAATGTTGGAGCGAATTTTATTCTGATTTAGCCCCGTTTTCTTGGTTTTTGCTGCTGCTACTGAGGTCAATGTATTTCTTCAGCCAAGCTGGCTGGTCTTATGTTTTAAAATGATAATTGGTTTTGTTTTGACTTGTTTTTTAGATATCCAAAGAAGAAGTTCGTTTGTTCTAGCTAAAGTAATTGTTATTGCCGCCTGTGGCTCTAACTGTCCACATTTTCGTTCCTAACTGTCATTTGTGATGTCATCGGCAAAATGAAGGAAAAAGATCTCCGGTTTTTAATTTTCTTCAGTATTATGGACAACACTATCCCACCAACGAGTCAAACTAATACTGAGTGTCAAGCAGTAGGGTATATCAGTATTGTTTTCGAAAGGACCCAGAATTCCGACAACCATAGACGAAATCACAGATGCTACCAATCTATTGCAGAGGGTTCGTTATGAAAAATATGCCGTATAGCAGTAATAGAGGGGTTGTACTCAGTACGTCGTGCGCTAAAGCAAGCTTACTTTGGCTATAAAGTTTATATTCGTGTCGTTCAATAATATTTCACGAACAATTATCTGAAAAACATTGCTTACGTAGTTCCAGTTCAAGATGCAGTTATTTTCGGCAATTTTCAAAATATATACTCCTATGACAGGGCATACTAAGGTGCTTTTTGATTAGACTGTAAGCATACTGCCCTCTGCTAACATATTTAAGCACACAATAAACAACTTTGGAGAAGTGGGTTATCATGGTTGTACAATGTTGGTTGTTATGTCAAGACCACATAGGTTATTCTAAATTCTGGACAGGCCAATTCATTCACTCTTCTTTTGTCACATTTTGACATTGTTAATTATTCGCTTAGCAACCTTGACTATTTTTATGTGAGCGTACGCATGTGCATTTATTATCTGACTCATCATATATCTGTGGCTTACTTTTGTTTGACTATAAGTATCGGTTCACATTTGGTCAAATTAAGTTGGTTCACATGGTTTCTCCGGTTTGTTTCGCGTCGCTCTTTACTCTTTCTCTCTCTCACTGGTCTCCCACTGTGCTCAATTTTTGTGCGCTTATGGATTTATACTAATCATTAACAATAAATTAAATCTACAACTGGTGTTCTGGCTCTTGAGTAGTCTCAAGTAAATTCATAAACCTGGTAAATTTAGCCCGCGTAAATGCTCAATCAACGGGATGATATTTATTGGAGTCAGATATAGATGAAATTAACCTCTAGAGTAGCACCTCATCTAAATTTCCACCAAATTCACCATATCCCGTTAAGGTACTCAGACTGTATTCAGAAAAGGGATATAGGTAAGGCTAGGAGAGACTTTTATCGTAAATAACTCAGAAAAGTATACCGAGGATCTTTCGTGCCTTAAAGTAACCCTCGTGCTATTGATAGAAGAAACCAGACAAGTAGTGAATAGGTCTTTATTTCGATCTTAGCGCGGTCACAGTGGAGCGTGGGATTATCTGTTCAGACAAACAAAGGCTCTCAACATTCAATATAATAGGGAATATAACGCTTATACAAAACAAGGAAGTGAATGAATACTTGAACAATACTGTTTTGGCATATACTTGGTTGTTTGGGGTCAACTCTTAACCAACCAACCTAAGCTGTTACAGATCCTTCATCTGGTCCGACCAGATGAAGGTCATCTCTGTACAATGAGAAGATGTCTTATTTCTCCCTCGTCGTTTTCTTTATGATTGCAGACGAAGATCCAGGACTTATATCTGAACCAACGTAAGCTGTGTATTTGAATTAAGTTGTATTTTCTGGGATAAGAATAGTCAAGTTACTCTTGAAAACAATTTTTAGGTCCCTCTACTACCTTCCTAAGTCTCATTACGAAGAAAATTTACTGATGTAAGGTCCCTGACTTCGGAATCAGACTTGATTCGATATCACTCCTCTTTTCTCATTTTAGGGACTTTTACAAGCATCCGTTTGCTTTACATTCTACCAGACTCTTGTTGTGGAACACAGACAGTCTATTCGAGTCACCCCTGCAGATATCTACAAGACATCACATAATGAACTAAGTAAAATGGTAGGATAACTATGGTTTATATATGTACATAAATAAACTGTTTGGGTGACAGACAATCAATGGCGTGAAATATTCATATTGTTTTAATTATTTTTACTGTCCGACGCGGACTGTCAACTGAAATCCGTCAATGAATGTAATTACTCATTTATGAATTTTATCACTTAGTGTGCCCATGTCAAATATTTTCGAATCTAGTCGCATCAAGCACTGTTTCTGATGCTTACGTATATTATGGTGAAGAATAGCTGTCTAGGTGGGTTAGATACACGCTCCTACCCGGTTGAAACCAAACAAAGTGACTGGGTTAAATGAGGGTTCTGAAATTCGTCATAAATTTAAATGTACATCGTTACCACCCAGCTATCCAACCAATAATTAATCGAATCCAAATTACAGTAAATAAGAAAGTTGATAAAGGATGTGAGAAAACTACCAATCATAACAAATAAATGTTATTCGATCCTGTCTTCATAGACCAAGCGCAGATTCGTTCAAAAGATAATATTTGGTTGCTTTATAGCAATTCCAATTATGGAAGAGTGCTTCAATTCACAATCAAAAAATGCACAATCCCAGTCAACACAATCAAAAGGAGCGACAAACTAATATGGCTGCCGCCAAGACTAACTATCGAGTAAAACAACATAAATGCAGTTCAGGAAGAAACATGGAAACTTAGTGAAGGCGTAAGAAAAATAAAAACTATAATAAAATATGAATATTATCAACTCAAATCAAATCAAAAAGAGTAACAAAATGTACAACTAAAGGAATCAATAGGAACCAACTGCAAGTGTACACATGGAGGGATTTCACATACAAAACATTCAAAATGGATCTTGCATGTGATTGGGGGGAAATCCTAAAATAAGTACCAACTTTATCGATAATGATTGCAGACTTTATTGCTCAATTGTAACTGATAAGTAACTTTTATAATCTGGAAGCTATCGGACCTCAGAAGTTTCATCAATATATTTTATCCTGAGCAAATGTTCATTCAACTCCGCCTAGAGTCCCTCCGGGGGCTACTGCCGGTCCCAAGCCCGGATAAAGGAGGAGGGTTGGGCATGGGGTTAGCGTCCCCATCCCGTAGAAAACTAACTCGCTAAAAAAACGCTAACCAGAAAAAATTATTCAAACCTTTTAAACTCTGCCCTGGGAGTCAGAAGGTCTTCATTTAGAAGAATTATGACGCCTCATGATGAAAGCCGAATTCCTTCGGAAGTTACGAGGCCGATGCCCCTTCTGACAACCAGAGCGACCATTTATTTAGGTACATGGAATGTTCGTACAATGTGGGACACCGGAAGAGCCTTCCAAATTGCTGCAGAAATGAGAAGATACAACCTAGAGGTACTTGGGATCAGTGAAACACATTGGACACAAGTTGGACAACAACGACTAACTACAGGAGAGCTCCTGTTATACTCCGGCCATGAAGAAGAAAATGCACCACATACACAAGGAGTTGCATTGATGCTGTCCAAACAAGCGCAAAATGCGCTTATAGGATGGGAATCTCATGGACCAAGGATCATCAAAGCCTCGTTCAAAACAAAGAAAGAGGGCATTTCAATGAACATCATCCAATGCTATGCGCCTACCAACGACTACAATGAAGACGCTAAAGATCAATTCTACAATAGGCTGCAGTCAATCGTCGAGAAGTGCCCAACAAAGGACCTGACTATTCTGATGGGAGATTTCAACGCCAAGGTTGGAACGGACAACACTGGATATGAAGACATCATGGGACGACACGGACTGGGAGAAAGAAACGAAAATGGTGAGAGATTTGCAAATCTATGTGCCTTCAATAAGCTGGTCATAGGCGGCACCATATTCCCACATAAACGCATACACAAAACCACATGGACTTCACCGGATCACTATACACAAAACCAAATCGACCATATTTGCATCAACAAAACGTTCAGGAGGACTATAGAGGACGTGAGAACCAAGAGAGGAGCTGATATAGCATCAGATCATCACTTGCTGGTCGCCAAGATGAAATTGAAACTCAAGAAGCACTGGACAACGGGGCGGACAATATCACAAAAGTTCAATACGGCCTTTCTTCAGGATACTAACAAACTCAACAAATTCAAGATAGTCCTCAGCAACAAGTTCCAGGCCTTTCATGATCTACTCAATGGAGAAGGAACTACTGTGGAGAGCAACTGGAAGGGGATCAAAGAGGCAATCACTTCAACATGTCATGAGGTCCTG